AAATTCAATTTAAAATCATAACTTAGGTCATTCTAACTTAAAGATGTAAAAGAACAACTCTTAAAAATGTAAAAGAAAACCCTTAATCATGAACGTTGGAATTAGTTAGAATTGATAATGGACCTTGTTCTAACGTCATTTATCATCACGATTACATCAAAGGCTCCTACTTAAAAATGTAAAATTATGGATGCTTTAAGGGTCTGGGTTTTACTTTCTTTTGCAGGGTTGAAAAGGTCAAAGAGGGTGCCTTTTACTCTTTTTATAAACAGAGTGTTCATCGAGGGTAGTATTCGTTATTTTTGTTAGATGAAATCACAATTTAAATTTTTATTATAATATTTTTTATAACAAAATTTAAATTTAATTTTTTTTGTTACAATATTTTTTTCCATATGAATTCACTTTTTAACTTAAATTCTCAATTTAAAAAACCGAAACGAACGAGATTAAATACTAGTGGTATTACTATTACTTATGTGACACTGTCCAATACCCAAAGGAGTTCCAAAGAAAAAAAAAAAGGAAAAAAAAAAAAAAAAAACAAAGCGCCAAAAAAATAGAAGCACTACGATATCAAGTTATATAACCGATGCGCTACGATATCAAATTGTGTAACTATGCGCTACGATATTAAATTGTGTAACCGATGCGCTTCAATGCGGAAGTAAATAGAAACGTAAAACATGTAAATGATTCCTAACGACGAAAGGAATTCATCTTTTCCAATATTGTAGCACCGATCAATGAAAGTGAGAGACCATTTATTATTAAATAATTATTTTCTTAATAATTTATTTCTTGGGTATTGGACACAACAGAATCCATTCCATAATGAATAGCGTTATTTAGGGTTTTTTTGCAATGAAATTTTAAAAAAATTTAAACTTGAATTACAACTTTATTCAAGTTTATATTTTTATATAAAATTTAAGTTTGAACTCAAGTTTGGGGTTAAACTCGAGTTTAAGTTTTTCTTTCAATTCGAGTCTATAAACTCAAATTTAAGTTAATAAATAATATTTTTTTTATTCTTAAAAATGTTATAATTTTTTCGTTTTAATTCTGATTGAGATGATTTTTTTCTATGCATTCACAATAAAAAAATGAATAAAATTCTATTCATATATTTTATTAAAATTTTTCATCACCATTGAGTTTTTATTAAAATACATTTTAAATACAAATTTAAGTTTTGATCCTTTTAAATACAAACTCAAAAATATTTTTAATTCAAATTATAATTTAAATGTGTACATCTAAACACAAATTTAAGTTACAATTATAATTCAAATTCAATTTAAAATCATAACTTAGGTCATTCTAACTTAAAGATGTAAAAGAACAACTCTTAAAAATGTAAAAGAAAACCCTTAATCATGAACGTTGGAATTAGTTAGAATTGATAATGGACCTTGTTCTAACGTCATTTATCATCACGATTACATCAAAGGCTCCTACTTAAAAATGTAAAATTATGGATGCTTTAAGGGTCTGGGTTTTACTTTCTTTTGCAGGGTTGAAAAGGTCAAAGAGGGTGCCTTTTACTCTTTTTATAAACAGAGTGTTCATCGAGGGTAGTATTCGTTATTTTTGTTAGATGAAATCACAATTTAAATTTTTATTATAATATTTTTTATAACAAAATTTAAATTTAATTTTTTTTGTTACAATATTTTTTTCCATATGAATTCACTTTTTAATTTAAATTCTCAATTTAAAAAACCGAAACGAACGAGATTAAATACTAGTGGTATTACTATTACTTATGTGACACTGTCCAATACACTAAGTAGTTCCAGAGCAAAAGAAAAAGAAAAAAAAAAAAAAAACAAAGCGCCAAAAAAATAGAAGCGCTACGATATCAAGTTATGTAACTGATGCGCTACGATATCAAGTTGTGTAACTATGCGCTACAATATTAAATTGTGTAACCGATGCGCTTCAATGCGGAAGTAAACAGAAGCGTAAAACATGTAAATGATTCCTACACTAGAAACAAAATTGATTTTCAACGTTGTTTGGTCTGCTTAACAACGAAAGGAATTTATCTTTTCCATTGATTGAGATAACTAAATACGTTTAACACCTTGCATTATAAAAAGCATCACAACCATATAACATGTAATAAGAGGAAAGTCTTGCTTATTAAATTATCTTTCAAAATAAGAGAAAATCCATTTATTTGTCAAAATTTGTCTTTTAAAATAAGAGAATTTCTCTGGTATTTTCTGCTTATTAACCGTTGGATCTGTATTATTCTTTTCAATTTGATTTGACTTTTGATCAGATTTAATACAGATTTGACAACTGATAAGTAAGAAACACCGGTGTTTTTTAAAAAAGAAAAAACAGCAGAAAAAGTCTCTTAAAATAATGAGATTTTACTTTTGATGCACATGATCTTGGGGATTATTTACTAGAGCATGGATTGTTTCTGTTTGTGTTCTATTTGTTATCCTAATAGATTCTGAAAGTAGTTGGATGAAAGTGTGAGGAAACTATTAATCCCTTTTTTTTTTTAAAAAAAAAAAGTCTTGTAAAGTAGTGATATGAGAAATCAAGCAAGAAATGGAATATTGGTCGAATGTCTTTATTTGTTGAGGCAAGTACGAGTAATAAAAAATGGATGCTACATCAAACCTTGATTAACAATATGCTTTCCATTTTTCCATGTTCACACCTGTTGAGGACAAATTAGCCTCCTAAAAAGTAAAAATTGCTCCTGAAATCCTCAACCAATTATGCGGTCGAATAGAAAAGGCGTCCAAAAGGTTGGAGTTTTAGTCAGTGTTATTTTTTTGGGAGATTTTTAATAGCCACTTAGTCCAATCAAAACATTATATATTCAAGAGCTAAAAAAAGAAAAACAAAGTGAAGCAAAACAAAATGAAGAATTACTTGTCCCCCTTTTTTTTTCTAAATGTTTTGGAGTGGAAAAGTTGAAGAAAAAGTGCAAAAGAGAGAATATATAGTAGGTAAATCTAATGTTTTGTACGTATGAATACTATTATAATTATATAAACACTTGTTAACTTGGTGATGATGCTCCGTATTTATGTCGTATTTCCATTTTATGGCAAGTGGGAATATGATATTTCACTGTACCAACAAAGCAAAATATACTTAAAAAATCATCTTCAATCTCAACCGCAACAAAATAAAAAATAAGGAAAAAAACAAGAGAAGAAATGGATGATATAACCAGTAAATGATATTTAACTCGTCGGTGACCGGTGGTCTAGTTTTTTAAGTTATAGAAAACAATCATGGGTGGAAAAAAAAAAAGAAGGAAATAAGCAGTGCTACATATTATTTCTTAAACTAATCACCGTTTCTTCAGAGGCAAGTGTGAGACTAATGCTAGTGAGTCGTGACATTGTCGGCAAATGGGGTCGTTTAAAATTTAGGACCTGTTTAGTTCGTTGATTTGAATTTTTAATTTGAATTGAGATATGACTTTATTTGAGAATTTTTTACTGTAGTGAAAAAGTTAAATGTGATTATTTTTTAGAACTTCTTACTGTAATAAAACTCGAATTTTAAACTCAAATCAGTGAAATGAATGAGATTTTAAAAGTTTTTTGAACTTTTGTATTCCTTTAGGCTGCAAATCCCACGAAATTCTGCATCATTTCATGCTTTTGTTTTGTAGCTTAGCTCGAGAAGGGGAAAAAAAAAAAAAAATAGAAGACAAAATGAGGGGGAAAAAAGAAAAGAGAATTTATCTTTTGCAAGGCGTGCAAAAGAGAATATGAGTCGAACCCAGGTCGCTAGATTCAAAGTCAAATCCAAAGTGTTAACCATTGCACATAGAACCCAGATGAATCATTTGGAGTAAAAAAATGAATAATATCTTTTCTAACAAAATCTCATTTTCAATACTTATAAATCATGACACAAAAGTCATATAGCTTTATATGACAGTTTTTGATTGGTAGAAAAAATGGGTGACATTCAAATAAGATTTTTCATTAGAAAAAGTTAATAGAGATGTTTTGTGTGTGTGTGTGTGTATTAAAGAGAATGTTTTCTAGCTAGTACTGTTGACTGTTGAGGCCGTGATTAACTGAAACTTTTTGGTTGATTTAATGGGAGGATAATTCTAATTCAACTTGTCGTGTTAAATTTTCAAAAGGGTCACTAAAAGGAAGTAAAAGTTAGAGGAAAAGTGAGTTAATTGTGTCCATCATCAGCCAAGAAATTTTGAATGCGTTTGGAATTCGTTTCAAAATAATTTTAGTTTTTGTATGAAAATAAAAATGAAAACGTTTTTAAGTTCAGATATAAATTATTTTTGAAAATGTGTTTGATAGTTTTATCAAGAGATTATTTTCAGTATAAAAAAATTCATTAATGTCTCTCTCTACTCGAGAGAGGAGAAAACAGAAACAAAAAAATGAAAAAAGACTAAGGGTGCGTTTGGAACTCGTTCTAAAATGATTTTATTTTTTTGTATGAAAATGAAAATGAAAATGTTTTCAATTTCAGACAGAAATCATTTTTTAAAATGCGTTTGCTAGTTTTATCAAGAAATTATTTTCAGTATAAAAAAATTCATTAAAAATAAAAAAAAGAGACATTAATGGATTTTTTATACTGAAAATAATCTCTTAATAAAACTACCAAACGTATTTTCAAAAATGATTTCTGTCTGAGATTGAAAACGTTTTCATTTCCATTTTCATACAAAAAATAAAATTATTTTAGAATGAGTTCCAAACGCACCCATAAAGTCACGGGCAACAAAAATTAATATATTTTAGTGTAATAGAATTTGATGAAAATACAGCTGAATAGGTTATTATTTTCATGCTCCACCATAAAAATTATCCAAAACAAAAAAATGGATAATCGACCCTCATAAATAAAAGTAGGTCTATGTAGTCTTTTTATTTATTTATTACCTTTTATTTGGTTACTACCGTTCAAAAAGAATTAAACACCTATAAATACCCTTCATTTCTTTCTCCCATGCCTTGCATGCACTAGCTCAACACTTTTAGAATCAGTTTAGTCAAAATTTTTAAACCTGTTTTGTTGTATTTTTTGTTTTTGTTTTTTTTCAAAACCACTGAAGAAGAGGTTGTACTTTTTTGGCACTAGAGAAGAACCATGGGAAATTGCATGGAGACTTGCAATCAGAGAAACCAAGCAAAGGAAATGCATGATCATGATCAACGGAAGCAAGAAGATCACGATCATAATCAGAGAGATGAAACGGAGATCAATGGTGGGCCATTTGTGAAGGAAAGCAGTTTGGGAGAGAAAGGCAAGTTAAGGGTAAAGATTGTGGTGACAAAAGAAGAGCTAGAGTGGTTGATGGTTCAACTCAATAACAAAGGAGGGAAAAGCTTAGAAGATGTTTTGGGAGAGATTGAGAGAGGAAGAGCCAAAGTTGAGGTCAGTTGGAAGCCTTCTTTAGAGAGTATCATGGAGTGCCCTGAAGTAGTTGAGATGGATAGATGAGTATTATGTGAACTTCAAACTTTGTTTTTGTTTTTGTTTTTTTTTGTTTTTTTTCTAGGTATTTTCATTTTATGTTTGAGGATTTTGATGTGGGTGGTGATGACCCATATTTGTAATTAAGTTTTTTTTTTTTTTTTTTTTTTTTTTCTCTCAAATAGAGCCCTTAAGTTGTTGAGAGACTCTTGAGATATGTGAAAACTTTTGTTTAAGACTATATTTGTAGTTTTAATTTGGATTTGGACTTGCCCATAGTTGATTGAGGTACTTGGTCATTCTTATTTTGTTCTGATATATACCTTCATTTGATTCTGCTTGCACATTCTCTTTTATAAGGCTTTTCTCAGATCCAAGTTCCAAATTATTGAAATCCTTCACAACTTCAACAATATTTGATATCCCCAAGGAAAGGCTGCTTGGATGCTCTTGTAAACAGACAATACCTCAAACCGTCGAATTTTTATCAAGTTCCGTTTTACGTGCAATGATTCTCAGATGGCCCAACAGTTTCCATTTTTTGTATCCCAACCCAATTTAATTGTTTTTAAAGTAAAATGATGAGGAGAGATCTCCCCAATATGTCGTTGAATGGTGAATATTTCATAATTCAGACCACTTTCTCACAAGCTAGTAACAATTAACAGAATACAACCTTCATAACTGATAAAAAGCTCATTACACACAGTAGTTAGTTTCTTTGATCGCAATCGACAAATCAAATCCAACTTGGTAATTGTGGGGGCCCAATAATTGAATTAATTACCAAGATTTGCGCGTTTAGAAGATTGTTTTAGCAATGTGACCTTTGATATGATATACCCTTGTCCTTCCACCTGTATAATATTGGATACATTTTATCTTGTGACTCAAACAAAACAAAAATAGTAGAATACTGGTCACTTGAGTTCTTAATTGATACGCTTACGGTTGAGTTTAGGAGTCAATCTTTGAATAAAATAGTCTCTTCTTTTTCCAAAGTTGGATTGAAAAGCATAAACATATTGAAGAGTAAAATTGAAGAGTAGAGGCCTACGGTCCCGTTTATTTCACCGATTCGAATTTAGAATTTGAGTTTTACTACAGTAAAAAGCTCTAAAAAACAGTTATATTTAACTTTTTTGCTACAATAAAAAAGCTCTTACACAAAATTACATCTCAATTCGAATTAAAAACTCGAATCAGCGAACTAAATGGGGTACACGATGGTAAAAAAATAAACTAAACCATCACAATTTTTTTATTGTTAATGGATCCCGCTTTGCACAAACAACTCAAGTTCAATAGTCCATATAGATTTTTCTATCATCCAACTCCTGATAAATCTGGTATGACCATGAAAAAGTTGGTTGTATCATAATTTTGATATGGGGAGGCACAATACAAGAAACGACACCATAGTTGCAGATTAGGCTGATATTGTAAATGCCACTTTCTGTTTCCCAAAGGAGAGGCTGGTGTTTAATTGGTTAGAAGTAGAGCAAGTAGGATTAGTGGTCTCTGTTTGTTTTGTGCTTATCTTTCTAACATTGTTGACTTAAGAATGGGATCTGGGCCCTTTGTGCATTAAGAGTTTTCTAATTATTAATTCTCCTGGCTTGAATTTGTGCACAAAATTCTGGCTTGGATTCTAACTTGGGCCTATGAAATTGGAAGTTGCCTTTGGATAACATTAGAAACAATTAAAGGAATGATAGGAAGAAACTAAGAAGGGAGAAAAAAAAAAAGAGAAGGGAGTTCATACTCTAAGAACAGGTTTTGGACATCTAGTTGAAGTCGAAGAAATTTCGGTCTTGTTTTTTTTTCTCAATTCAAATCACAACTCAAATTTTTTTGTTACAGTGCTTTATTTTATAAAAATTCAAATTTAACTTTTTTATTACGGTATTTTCTTTCAAAAAAAAGTTACATTTTTCTCATGTAATATTTGAAAAAAATAAAAAGTTTTCAAAAGCCCAATTGATGGATAGTAGTAAAAAACTACGTGAGGAACACCTCCTGTTTCTGAAGTTTTTGATGTCATTCTACACAACAATTTCAACTTATTAACCTCAAGACATCCCAGTATCTGCAAGTACTATTAAAAAAAAAAAGACAAAATTACACCTTTGAAGTGTTTCTGAAAGAAACGACAACAAAAGTTTTGTTACCTTAAAACTACATCAGAAAAAAGTTCGGAATTTATGATCTTCCTCAAAGGGTTTGCCAAGGCTTGATAGTTTATGTGTGACAATAGCAGAACTTTTATGAAATATCTCCCTACTTATAATTTCAAAGACCAACCTCATTTACAAACGACAACAAAAATCTTGTGTCAAATTAAACAATGGAGCTAAAAAAGCAGCAAAGAGAACTAGCACTTGAACAGCTCTAAATTGGAACAAAATTTCACCTGAAAAACTTCAGTATCACTTTTTAGAGCTAATCCTAGTCGACAGCCATTTAGGCCGAAAATTAAGACTAAAACTCCTCAGGAATAGTCTTAAGCACGGTGTTGCCACTGCAACTAGTGCTTGGAAGGTTAAAAACTTGAACCCGGTTCACCGGAATCTGCACGAGCTCACGAGCGACGTCCTTGAATTTGAGGACTCCTCCATCTTTGCACCGCGATAAGAGGCGATTCGCTTCTTCCTTTGTCATCGTAACTTTAACTCTAATCACCCCTGATCTCTCTTCTTCTGCTCTACTAGAGACCGTTTTCACTCCTGACTCTTTCTCGATCAAAGGTTCCGAAAACTCAAGGGAATCACCCTTCTTTGGCTTCCTTTTTGCTTGCTTAGTCTTGCTTAATTCATCTCTATATATGATGCTTTTGGCATTGGATTTCCTGTGTTCCAGTGCCTTTTCATCCGGTGAAATCCTGTTGTAGAAAGTAACGAAAGAGTTCAACATTTTTGATTTTTTATTCCCCGGAGAGGAAGAAAAATAAATGAATTAGGATATTTGAGAAGATGATGATTAATTTGTTGTGAGATCAGGAATGGGATATGATGCATTAAAGGGCAGGGTGGTTATGTATATATAGATGAAGGCAGTAAGAGAAAAATGTAGTGGGAATATATTTTTTTTAGTGTAGTAAAAGTAAATATCTGACTTTTACCAACATCGAGAAAATATTTCACGTTATTTCACAAGAAGTTTTTCTAGATTAAATTCTTGACTAGACTATCCACAAGCAAATTGTTAATACCCACCAAAAAAGATAATTACATATATACCCCATGTTCTAGGGGTATTGTTCAATGTTCACTAAGAAAGATAACATCTCCAAATGGCATTACCTGTCATTAGCACCACTATTTGGTGGTAATTAAACGAATGACGACACAAATTGTTGCCTAAGTGGGGTTCACTTTTGATGACAACGTGACATCTTTGTAACATGGTTGTTTATTTCTATTAAAAAGGAAAAAAAAAGTGGTATTTTCATAATCTAGGGCGTCAATTGCACGGTATACAATAATAGTCTTTGCATGTCTTTTAGTCCAGCTGCAAGGGATTGACAGTCCAGTTGACCCCTTCAAAATAAACAAAAGGTGGCCCTCAAAATGTAGAAGAACATAAAATGAAGTTTTGAAGTGGTCAATTCTCATTATTTTTTTCTTTCTATAGATTGTATTTATTGGCTAGAAGTTCCATCGAATGGCCCCGAAGTGGTTGAAAAATATGGTGACCATTAACTGAAAAGAAAAAAAAAAAAAAAGGTTTCACTTTTTTCTCAAGCATCGTGCCAAAATCACTTGAAAGTTTCAAACTCGGTTAATCTTTCAATTAATTTCATAAATGTCCCTTAATTTATGTATCCTAACTCAACATATCTCTCTCGAATTTATAAGGAGTTTATTTCGCCGCCAAATTACATAAAAATCATTCAAAACAACCCCAAATTAATGTAATTTCATACTCTCCAAACTATTAAAATATTAGAAGAGAATAGACTTAAAATCAATCGTTTAAAGAGGCATTTATGAATTATAATTAGTGTCAAGTTATTATTCCGTTAGTATTATATATAAATGGATTTAGATGCAGGAAGGTTTTTTTTTTTTTTTTATAACAATTTTACAAAGTTTGAAGGGTAAATGGAATACTTTTCAAAGTTTGGGGCCATGTCACACTAGATCACCTAGTTGATCTAGCTTACAAGTTATGGAAAACCATATTCTAATGTAGATTCGAGTCAATAAGAAACAGGGTAACAAATACCAAGACTAATGATATTGAATTGTTTCCTTTGGAACACGAATGACGTAATATAATGGAGTCTTCCGCTAAACAATCTTATTACACGGCTTGGATTTGAAAACGCGATTTTGAAGTTGACTGGAATGGACGCAGTCAAGAAGTCCATGACCGATGATCAAGGTTCCAAATAAAACTATTATTTGGCATCTTGGAAAAGTTACAAATGCTATAAACTTTTTGACATGCCAAAGACCAATGCTTAACCACATACCCCCGTTTATCATGCAATTAAAAAATTTAAACAATGCTACGACAGACACCGATAGTGCTAAGTGCCACTCATTAATAGAAAGTAGATAGAGAAAATAGATAAATACTTTTTAGATTGTATGAGTCTGAATTTTTATTCTTACTATTAATTAATATCTTTTTTTACTTAAATAACTATACTAATCAAAATGATATTAATTAAAAGTAAGTAATAAAAATTCGGACTCACGGAATCCTGTGGTATGATGCCCATCTTCGGTGCCTCACGGATTTTTCAAATCTAACTCAAAAGTCATGACTGGATATATGGAGAGAGTTTTGTCTCGTATGTCTTGCAATTTGCGTGCTAGCTGCTAATTTTTGGTAGTTTCCTATTAATTGGCCGTTTGAACTTAATAGCGGCAGTATTACATACGCTAGTATAATCAATTAAGTTGGCAGTGACATTTGGTTATTATATTGTTGTCACGTTAACGCTAATACCATTAGTAATAGGTTGGCAATAATATATGATACTTCATATCTTTCTATTTCTTTTGACAAATATATTGTCACATTAACGCTGTAAATGGTAGAGATGACGTGACACATTGCTGTCGTGTCTAATATACATATAGTTTCAGGGAAAATTATTAGAAGCTTGAATCCATTCAAAAAGAAACTTTTAATCACAACATCTTCTTATAACATATTTAGCTAGTCACAGTACTTTGAATGACTAATGCCCCGTTCACTTCACCAATTCGAGTTTAGAATTCGAGTTTTGCTACAGTAAAAAGTTCTTACAAACAATCACATCTAACTTTTTTGCTACAGTAAAAAGCTCTCACACAAAATCACATCTCAACTCGAATTACAAACTCGAATCAGCGAAGTGAACGGGCCATGTCACTTGTGGTCACAATCAGGGGCGGAGCCACTTGAGGCAATACTTTGGCCCCCAACATATTTTTCTTTTGCACTTTTCCCTTTAAATTGCCCCCCTAAAATTTTATAATTACAGTTTTTACATATATTTTTAAAATATTTTCTGTTATCATTCAAATTTATCTTTCTAAGGACCCAAATTTCAATGTTATTAATATCAAATTTATAAAACTTTTTAAAATAATACATAAATTTTGACTTTTAAGTACTAATAATTTAAACTTAAAAATCCAAATAAAATAAAAAATTAGCTATACTACCATTTCCATTCATAATTTTGTTAGACTCTAAACTTCACAAAGTGATGGAATAATATATTAAGAGTTTCAAACCATTTGCAGAAGAAATAAAAGAAAAAAAATATATAGTTACACGATTATTTTCATTCATAATTTTAGTTTACCTCATGCCCCCTCTGAAAAAAGTTTCTGGCTCCACCACTGGTCACTACCTCGTATAAGTTGTGACTAATACATATTTAGTCACAAATTTTTAGTGTGACTAAAAGTTAGCAACGAGGCTGGCTTTTAATCACATAAATTTTTTAGTATAACTAAGAGATGGTTTGGCTCATAGGTTAAATGGGTTTGAACTCTTGAGCTAATTGTTATTTGGCAAACTAAAAATTTTACAATTCAGATGGTAAAAGCTGATTCATACCTTAAAAATTTAGAACCCCCCAAAATTATACAATTCAGATGGTAAAATCCGATTGGCACCACAAAAATCTGGCAACCCCCATAATTAAGAGATCGTTTGGCTCATAGGTTAAATGGGTTTGAACTCTTGAGCCAATTGTTGTTTGGCAAACCAAAAATTATACAATTTAGATGGTAAAATCTTATTCATACCTAAAAAATTTGAAACCCCCAAAATTATACAATTCAGATGGTAAAATCTGATTCACCCCTCAAAAATCTGCTATATATACAATGCAATTTAAATAAGACTTTTCAGAGTTTATAATTTAAGCAAGAAAAAATTCAAATCATTACAATTCAAACCCGCAATCCAAACATACTTAAACCGATCACTAAAAATTTTGTGGCTAAAAATTCGTCACACAAAAAATTTGTGACAATATATATCGCCTCTCTTATTAAAAAAAAAATACATATAAAGTCACAAGAATGCTATGACTAAAAGTAACACGAGAAGATGTCAGAACTAAAAATTCTTTTTTTTTTCTTAGCGATGTTCAGTATTAAAATGTCATTTTTTAAGCGTTAATTCGTATTGGAATATCTTCCCATCGCTATTTAATTTTTATTGACGTGAAGTAACTATCATGTAGTTGTGAGGCCATTTAATTTTATGTCTTGGCGCAACATGCAAGGTTGATTTACTGTTTTTGGAGCATTCCCTGCCTAATATTAATTTGATCAAGTCAATACCTAATTGGTCGCTTGATAATGATCAATAATAACGATATGACAGTGAAGATAGTGAAGAGCACAATCAAAAGGAAAGAAAATATGATAAAAAGGAAATATAAAAGTGATAGAAAATAGTAATGATGGAAAGAAAATTGATTTTCTTTTATATTGTTTGGTATGAGAAGATGTAAAGAAAATGAGCTTACTTTCACTTGTTTGGTATTGGAAGTTAAATTGGGAGGAAAGAAAAAATCTTACTCGTAAATTACTTTTATACTCTTAAATTTTTTGTTTGGATGTTGATGGAGAAAATGGTAGTTTAGTAACTTTGCTCACTTTAATGAGTTGTCCCCATTTTTAATCTCATTTTCTGCCCACTCGTGAAAAGAAAAAAAATGGTGGGGCCAACATGTATTATTTTTCACTCTATTTTCTCTTCCTTTCTCTTTTCTCTCCTACCAAACAACCTACATTTTTATTTTTCTTCCCAAAATCCCTCCACCTTTTTCCTTCCTTATACTTTTTTTTCCTACCAAACATACTCCTTTAATTGTTCTTCAAAGTCGATTATTGGAGAGCCTTCACATTGCATATAATACTTGCACAAATTAAATCATAACATACAGATTTGTAGAAGTCTTTGGAGGCCAATTAGCATGGTGTTATTATATTATTATAAGATTAATTTTCCTTAACGCTTTTTGTTTCATTGTAATCCTTGATTAAGGTTTAGAGAAATAAGAAAGGAAAAGGGAAAAAAAGAGAGCACATAAAATTGGACTTCTTAATTCACCTAAAACCAAAAGCATTGCTCAATGTCGCGGCTCTTCCATAAGAGACACCAAAAGCGCTAAAACTGTGGCGTCTCTGCATTTTTTACGACACTAAAGAGTTGTTCTTTTGCAACAAAATTTTAAAAAAGTTGAAACTCAAGTTACAATTTTATTCAAGTTCACGTTCTTTTAAGTTCTAACTTTATTTAATTTTACTCAATTTATTTAAGTTACAATTTTAACTCAAGTTATAACTCAAATTCAACTCAAAAACTACACTCAAGTCACACTCCAAAAGAACATGCCCTAATAGCTAGAAGTATAAAAACGCCCATTTTTCTTGTGCGTGTCAATATCACAAATCTTTTATAATCTTGATTCTTAATCAATGATGACACAGAAGTGCGTTTGAGATAGCTAATCCTGCACCGAGTAACACTATATATGTAATAATTTAATAAATAATACAAGTTAATAAATAAATATATATTACAAGTAAATAATTATTAATAGTTAATTAATTTGAAATAAAGATATATACTATTACATGGAGTCAAGGAGGATAATAAAAATAAAAACATAAATACATAGTAATATAAACAAGACAAACAGAAGGTCTAATTTCTTCAATTTTCTTCATCTTCGGCATCTTGAGCTGCAGGAGGCAACAATACTTGGTCGGTAAGGAAGGACGTCGAAATTAGCTCCTACATTCATCTTGGTCATATTGCAATAACCATATAGATATTGGTGTTGTACATCTGAGCAAACCACACATGCTATTTCTAGTTTGATATCAGGAGGAAGAAGAATGCTTATTTTTAGAAAAAAAAGAGACAAATTTCCTTTATTTAAAGTGTATGAAAATGAATTTTTACCATTTTTTTTTTTTTTTTGCTTGAATGTCTCCTTTGCCTCTACCCCACACTCAGACTACCGTCACATACACACACTAAGACTTCGTTTGGTAGGAAAGATTGAGATGATGAAGGATGAAAAGAGTTGGAGGGATGAAGAATGTGAATGATAGAGAGAATTATTATAATCTTTTATGTTGTTTGGTAGGAGGGGGGAGAACTGAAAGGATAGAAGATAGTTTTTTGTTCAATTACAATATTGTTCATTTTATTATTTATTGAGAATTACTTTTAAAGGGTAAAAAAGTTATTTAGTTTAAATTTTGGGTGGAATTAGTTGGATCCTTCCAAAGGATCCAAATTGGTGGGTTTGACGGGAGAGTCTCTCCCTCCTCTTCTCCTTACCAAACAAGAGATTCACTATTTCTGTTTACCTCTCTCTCTCCCTCCTATTAAACATACCTAATACTAAGTCCAAAATTAGTCCCAATAGATAGTATACACTTTTATTTCTTACTTTTAATTAATATTTTTTTAATTAATACGGCATGTTAGTAGGAATTTGGCTCACATATTCCTTTTTATTTTTTATTTTTTTTCCTCTAACAATAAAATGTAACATCAATTTAAACTATTTTAAGTTCAATACGATATTTAATTGGCGTGCCATGGATTAGAGAGACAAAACAGACGCACCGGAGTTAGTTTACCAGGTTGGTCTGGTTTCTCATAATTGGGCCTGTATCTGTATGTGGTTTTCTCGGCCCATTTTAGCGTTTCCAATTCCAGTTTCCAGTTTCCATTCCTTCAGCGAACGATATCACGTTTTAAACAAATACATCACGTTTTCTCTCTCTTGAAACCGTCGACGTCATCTCGAAAGAACGAGACACAGTTAGAGAGAGAGAGAGAGAGAGAGAGAGAGAGAGATGGGTGGAGCTGCTCAAGCGTTGAAGAGAATCCCTCGCATCAAATTCCCTCAGAGACATCCAAAACCCACTGGTATTTCATCCACCTAAAACCTTACAAAATCCTCTTTTGTGTATTTGTTTTTCCTCAATATGAAGATCTGTGCTTTATCTACATCTTGAAATTTTTGTTAGGTTTATTGCATATTATTGTTGTCTGTTTTTACCCATTTATACACATACAAACCTACACAAAGAGGATTTATCTTTTTCGCATTGGCCAAACCTTGGATTGCATTTTTACTGCGGAGCGAATTTTAGTTCACATAATGTCATGTCTGATGCAAAGTTGTGTTCTTTTTGGGATTTTGATATAGAGACTATTCAGGGTTGAACTTGGATTCTAAAGCAAAAGCCACATTCTTTAACACCCCAATTGGTATAGTAAGGGGAGTAATGTATAGAATTAAGAAGTGGAACATAACATTTATTCAACGTAAAAAAGGTGAGAGTGGTTTGGATAATTAATGGGATATTTGTTTTAAGGGTTTGTCTCTAGTTTTGAATCATGTTCTTAGTTCTCTACAGTGTTTTTCTCTCACAAAACATTTGAATTTCAAAAATTAAAATTATAAATCATGGTTCTGAATCAAACGTCTCATAAATTTTGTGGTGTTACACTATTACAAAGTCAATGTTGCGTTGAATAAATGTTTTGGTGTACTTCTCACTTTTATATGTTATGTAAGGAGGCTAGTTCTTCTGGGAGGACCATAGCAATTCCCCTATATGTTTGCGTGTGTGCGTGTGTTGGTGCGTGAATAGTAATGTAAGAATGTGAATAGTGACTCGTATGCATTGGGAAGAAATTAAGAATGTGAATAGCAATTTGAATTGGAAGTTTGGTAGCAGAGTAAAATGACGGTCGACCCTGTACCGGCATCCATTTTTCAGTTATTGCTCTCTTTCTCTCTGTTTCTTTTCTGTAGTTATATCCATTTATCAAGGCTTGAGATTTACATAGCCTTGAGATTCTGTGTACTGACAATGATACATATTCGTGTAATCATGCCTTCTATAGGAGGATAGGGGGTTGATATACAAAACTTTTGTTTTATAATGCTGTAAGCCAGTGCTTTTGGCCCATTCCTTAAGAATTTATTGTGCCCCATGGATCGTCATTTTGTACCCTTTTTGGAAATCTTCAAAATTATGTTCCGCATCTTTGTCTGGAAATCTTTTGATCCCATGAGGGGAACTTGGTTAGTTTTTCTTGATATATCCAGCTATTGAGAAATTTTTAATTTTCAGGTTCTGCATCTGAGATTCAAGCACCAGCCAAAGATGGCGACCATGATATCCAAGCAATCTTCTCAAGTTTGAAGGGATCAACATCTGTGGGAGGGAAAGCTTCTCTTCAGCCCAAACGAACACCGGTGTCGAATGAGGAGATTGAGGCTATTCTGGTATGTAAAACCTCCTTTGCAAGTTTGGAACTTTATGATGGAGTATGAACTTGATGAATACTAAACGTTATGAACTTATGGTGAATACTGACTTTTTCCATATGTGATTAACATGGTTGTGAAACAAGGGTTATAGCTATTAGTTTCTCTCAAGTATTATAAGCTTCCTAATTGCAACAAAAAGAACATAAGCAAACAAATAGTAGTCCTTTGCATCTAAGCATATAAAGAACTATTGCATATTTTCGTACATTTTCATGTTGCAGATGCATGGTGGTGCAATATTAGTACTTATACAGTTGATGAAATCATTATCAAATGGTCCTTCCTAGTATCTCACATATTTGTCAGATACTTTTTTTTTTCCTTAATTTTCAATTCAATTATAACTTCTGGACTTTCCACGTGCACCGATTCATTAACCACTCTTAAGTGCAAGTGTTATTTTGAAGCGGTGATGAGCTTATTATGGTTACAAAAGCTTGATTGTCTTCATTTACGTCTTGTAATTTATTTTCTTAATTATTTTAACTTTCTTTTGGCAGTTGGGTGGCTGCATATGATGTTTCGGAGGAGCTTCAAGGGTGCTATGTCTTGCAACAGAATAACCATTTTTTTTTTTTTTTTAGAATTATGTCAAAGTTCTTCTTTTCATTATTTTTTATTTTGATACAAGTCAAAGTTCATTTTTTGATAACAACTGACCATGGAATTTATGACAAAAAACTTACAGAAAGACGTGATACTGAATGATGAACGCCATTCTAAGCCCTTGTTATTCTCTCGTTCTTGTACCTATAAGCTGTTGAGAATTTTCTTGCACTTTTTGCTCGCCATAATGCCATCTAATATAGGAATCTCAAAACTGCACATTCAGAACAAAAATATACATGCCTGTGATGGAACTAAAAACAGGAATCATTCGGAATCCTTTTTGAGCAGAGGTTCCAGAACAGCAGACTGGGGATTTTTCCCTGGAGGGCCCTTCTCTCTGCGTTGTAACTCATCGATGCGAAAAGTGGTTAGCCGATCCCAGTTTCCTCCCTCAAAAAGAACCCCAGCCTTTCCATCAGTGATCCTCTGAACAATTCCAGTGTACATGTAATATGGACTATTTGGATTGCTCACAATGGCAATCATACCAGGCAGCAACAGTGGCAATTCAGGTGCTTTCGGCTTCTTTAAGTTTATCAGTTGTGTTGCCTTTCCAGCTGATGGCTTTTCTGGTGGTGGGTTTTTCTCAATGAACAACTGCAAGCCCTTCTCACCACCAGGAAATCCTCCTGTTAGACCCATCAGCTCCTTCTCAAAACTCTCTTCTGGGACGCTCTCGACCGTCGGGATCGCCGGACTGTCGGGATTTTCCTGCTCTTTGTAAGCGACTTCCGATGCTCGCTCGTCGACATTTCTACTCAGCTCTTGTTGTAGACCCTCTTCGCCATTGCAGAGTCCTCTGCCTCCCAGGATCTTGAAGAGGTCGAATTTTGCACATGGTCGTAGGCTTTGTGGAGATTGAGGTTTGTAAGTTGTGAAACTGGGTTTGATAGGGCGATTAGAGAGGTGTTTTCCGCTAAGAAAATAGGACTTAAAGCTTGGGAGAGTGATGTTAGAAGAAGCCATGGTTTAACAGAGGCAAGTGGTGGAGTGAAGAAAGAGAAAGACGTCTCTCTCTCTCTCTCTCTTTTAATAATTCTGGCCACAAAAAGGATTTCCTGTTGGGATATATTTTATCTGTCTGGACCAATTATTTTCTTTCGTGCACTATTTTTGTCCTTTCCTTCTTCTGGTTAGTGATTTTCGTGGACTCGATGGTTTAAGTTTACATACAATACTTTCCCACCCCACCGGAAGTCGTGGAAACACTTTTCATCCGTGGTTGTGGTAATAACTCATTAAATATCAGAGACCAGCACACACACACAAAAAAAAAAAAAAAATCCTTTATTAAATATCAGAATTTAGAACCATTCAAAATTTGTTATTGCGTGAAAAAGTATCCAACTGGTGGAATACAATTCAGGAAACCAATGAGTAGGTGTAATGTAATGGTAATGCCTCTCCATCTTTTCTTCAAGAATGTGTCTAGGGTTCCATGCTATATAGTCCTCCATCAATGTGTCGATCAATGTGTTGTGCGGTGTTAAATTTAGGGTTGCATGGGTGAAAATTGAGCATGGGTCGGATCCTTTCCATTCTATTGATGGACTCTGAAACTTCTGAAGTGGCAAAGGGGATTGAGGCGGAATGACACTAATGATCTTTTAAAAAAAAAAAATTTAATTGTGTGAGAATTATATTAAAAGATAAAAAATAGAAAAAAATCCATAAGGAATACAACAAACACTATTTATAGGATATAATTTAAATCATTAACTACATCTGAATCATGTGAGATTAACATAATTTGATGAAAATCTTATAGTTAAAAGCTCTATCTTATTGATAAAGGTACCCTATACAAAATTCTACTGAAAAAAAATGATAAGTGAACATGGCTTTTTAGCGGTTTACATTTATACAATACCAATACCCATTAAACTCTACACATTGTGGTTGAGTTAGATGTAAACTTATTATTAGGCAATACTTGCAACCATTCCTTTTTTTTTTTTTCTTAAGGGTTTTAATTACTAAATGTTATATCGTGGGTAACCTTGACAAATATTTTTTAAAAGTACATGGATCTATATTTTTATTTTTTACTCTTGTTATATAACTTTTTTAGTTAAATAATTACACTAACAAAAATATTTTCTAGAGAGACCGGCGGAAAATCTCAAAAAAAAAAAAAAAAGAGTGGCTAACGACCATGAACGAAGCAAACAACTGTAATAACTAACACTCAGGTAGATACTTGTCAGTTGATATCATTTCAAGCCATTATCAAAAATCCATTGTTTTCCCCGCTCTCTCTCTCTCTCTCTCTCTCTCTCAAGTAATCTGAACACTCTCCTTTTCAAAGATTGCGTTGGTGAGCGAGCGAATAACAGTACTAGTCACAATGCAAAAGGATTCTTCCTGGCCCAGAGAACGCAAGAGAAAGCCAAGGCAGCGTATTTCCTTCCAAACTCACCGGAGAACGTCGATGTCGCCGCTCCTCCTCCTTCTCCAAGGAAAGATAGTGATGGCGAATGAATTTGAGAATGTAATAGAGAGGAAGGAAGATGATGTTGAGGCCCATAAAAGTCCGAAGATCAGAACTCAGAGTCGAAAACAATAGCAGTAAATGTTGTCGAGTTCTTTCTTTTCTTCGTTTGATTCTTTTCAATGATTCTTTTCTGGTTCGTAATAAGATTGTACTAGTTTGAGGTTATTGATCATAGAAAGATAAGGAGGACTATTTTGGTCCATGAAATCAGAATCGAAGTTTCGATAAATGTCACTCAGTTTATTCTTTTCTTGTTGTAATTCCCTTTTGCCCTTAGAGATTGACAAAGATGATTTAGTCTTAGTAATAGAAAGAAAATATTTCTTTCTTCTTTTGGTATTCTACAACTTTCTTTTGCAATACAGTCCTATGATGTTTTAGAAGTACTATATATATTTCCTCAAGTACTATTTTCTTTATACAAGTTTGTAGAATTATAAAGATTTAGTAGTGACAGTAAAAAGAGCATTATTTTCTTCGTCTCTTTGTTTTTTCTCTCACTTTTATAATTTTATGTTACCACTTTGATGAGTTCTTTTGCAAGAGTGTTGTCTAAAGTTTAATACGCACAAGGTCTATGTTTGTTGCAGAACCTCGTCCAATTCATTTAAAGTCCATAATTGTTGTGCCTAAACGACATCGGTCGCCGCCGCCGTGAAGTTCGGCACCGAATAGCACAGAAAATAGTAAGAGCAGAATCAGCAGATAGATATAGCTTTATTGACAGGTATGAGTACCGAGATGATCACTTCATTGACAATGACAAGAACAGAAATGCGAAGTATAGTAAAGAGAGAAGTTTGAGATTATTGATCACAGAAAGATAAGAAGGACTATTTTAGTCCACGAAATAAGAATCTTGATTGTCATAATACCATCTAATACGGGAAAATTGTTAAGTTGTGGAACCTAATCAATTACATGACAATTTATATTTAGAAGATCTCACATATCAACCTTGAGATAAACTATTATAAATTTGCGCGTTTGTTTTGTTTGAATTTTTTTTTTTTTTTTTTTTTGCGATTTTACTGCATTCGGTTATATATAATTGAGGAGTCTAATTCTTAACAATCTCAAAACTGCATATTAAGAACAAAAGTATAATACATGCTTGTGATGGAACTAAAGCAGGAATCATTCAGAATCCTTTTGAAGCAGAGGTTCCAGAAGAGCAGACTTGGAGTTTTTCGCCTTTCCAGAATTTCTTATTGGGTGTTTGGTATAAAGATTCGTGATATGATTCGAATCATATTTCGTAATTCGTTATAGTATTTTTTCTCGTAAAAAATATAATACACGTAAACTGAAAATAATTCTATATCATAATTCTAAATCTGTCCGTGTTGCCTTTTCAGCTGATGCCTTTTCTGGTGGTGGGTTTTTCTCAAGGAACAACTTCAAACCCTTCTCACCACCAGGAAATCCTCCTGTTAGCCCCATTAACTCCTTCTCAAAACCCTCTTCCGGGACGCTTTCGACCGTCGGTATCGCGGGTCGACTGTCGGCATTTTCCTGCTCTTTGTAAGCGGCTTCCGATGCTTGCTCTTCTACAGTTCTACTCAGCTCTAGTTGTA